CTGGCAGGGGGCTGTAGCCAAAATGAGTTTGTCTTTTAAGCTCTTCATCCATTCATCCAAATTAGGCCTTAACATGCTTGAATTGCATGAATTATGCTCTCTTGCTCTATTTGCCTACAAAACACACAAAGAGAGGCAAATAACATAGAAATCTAGGAAACTAAGCAAAAGAAGTAAGTAAATAGGGCATGTATATGTATGAAATTATGAGCTTAACATATATACAATGCATAATTAATGTTTTGGAAATCACAATGAGACTAGAATGTCAAGGCGCAATTCTAAGTTCTTAGAAATAAGAATACAAATCACTCGCTAAAGAAAATTCCTAATACTTTGGATTCGAATCTCTTTATTATGGAGGTAATTAAATTAAGTACTCTAATTGTTCCATCATAACTTACAGAAACCAAATTAATTATGATGCAGGAATAAAAATTACCGAAACCAAATTAATTATGATGGCATGGATGAAACGAATGATGATCACAATACTTAAATTAATATTCCACTACTTTAGTTCTCACAAAATTGATTTTTGTCAATTGTATGCATGTTTTTTTTTGTTTCCCCATTGTTCGTTCTTTGAAGGGTTTTGCTTCTTATCACCTTGTTATTTTAATTTTAATTTTTTTGTTTCTTAATGTTATACTAAGTTTAGGTTTTTTTTTTTTTTTACTTAAGAGCTGAGGGTGGGTCCAACAAAAAATAAGAATCCAAGGTGGTGTCTTGTAACCTGTAATGAGGAGAACTCTCTAGTTATAATTTACAAAAAGGAAAAAGGAGCTCTTAGATATAGGTCCAATTTCACTTATGTCATCAGAAGTGGACTATACCAAATTTTCTAAAAAGAAGAAAAAAAAAACTATACAATGTACAACTGACTCTTATTCATGTAACTGTGTGGAAAAAGATAATTGAAGAAAAATTTGTCAGTGGTCCAAGTAAACAAGTAATAAATCAATGAACATTGGGGAAATTAATGGATGAGATCAAAGACTTGTGATTTAGACTTGATATGTTGACGTGCCTTCCAACGCGTGCTCCAACTGACAGGTATTGATTCAACTGCTAGCTTGCATCAGATATAGGAGAAAAGGAAGAAAAGCCTTTACAAAGAAAAACACGGTTTAGCAACAGTGCCACACATTCATATAAGACAAAACCATATAAAGGAGTAAATTATCTGCTATATACAATGCATAATTAATGTCAAGGTGCAATTCTAAGTACTTATCGTATCAAAAAAAAAAATCTAAGTACTTACAAATAAGAATACAAATCATTTGCAAAAGAAAATTCCTAATACTTTAGATTCGAATCTCTTTATTATGGAGGTAATTAAATTAAGTACACTCTAATTGTTCATCATAACTTATAGAAACCAAATTAATTATGATGCATGAGTTAAAAAGTAAGATGCAGGAATACAAGTACTATTTTTTAATTTCGATAAAATAAAAGTACTATTTTTAAAATTTTGGTTAATTTTTTAATATAAAAAGAATTGTGTACGTTCGGTGACATAGCATACTGTTTTGCTGAATAGTGACATAGCTCAATGATGCTCTCATACCATGCCATGTGGACAACCACCCCGTATATGTAAATTCAATTTCAAATACATATGAATGTATCTTTTAGAAAGGAAAAACATTTCTTGTAACGGGAATAACACTATTTTGCTATTTCTACAATAATACTTGAAAAAATTATCCTAGGTGGTTTGAAACATTTATTAGTATACCTTGTGATTAGTGTGGCAAACAAGTTTAAGGGAAATGTTTCAAGATAGTGTAATAAAAAAAAATGACACGTGAAAAAGAGATATTCCTTAAATCAACTAATTATCCTAATTAAATCCTATTGAGCATTGATCCATCTTAGTAATTTGTAATGGTGGGCTGGGAGCTTGCTGTGGACAGCTATCTTCAAGTAGACTTTGAAGTCTTCATATGGAAACTCATGATGACTGACTCACACAAAAAGACTGTTTAAGTCTTTTCAATTTTTTGGTTCCACAAAAAGACTGTTAAGTCTACAAACGGTAATTTCTCTTTTTTTTTCCTTTTGCTTTATTAATTGCTCAATTACTTTATTTTACCATTTTTATGTTTTTTCTTTGAAATGAGCTCTTAGATATAGGTTCAATCCACTTATGTCATCAGAATTAGACTATACCAAATTTTCTAAAAAGAAGAAGAAAAAAACTATACAAACGTACAATTGACTCTTATTCATGTCACTACGTGGAAAAAGATGATTGAAGAAATATTTGTCAATGGTCCAAGTAAACAAGTAATAAATCAATGAATATTGGGGAAATTAATGGATGAGAAGGCGAAGACTTGTGACTTAGACTTGATATGGTGATTTGTCTTCCAACGCGTGCTTCAGAAACATGGGATAGGGTAGATTGGGGGTGGGCTGGGTATTTTATTATTTATTTTTTTGCAGAGATTTTTTTAAAAGATTATGTTTAGATTTTCAAAGGTGGATGTGGATGTCAGGGCGCTATTCTAAGTTCTTACAAATAAGAATACAAATCACTTGCTAAAGAAAATTCCTAATACTTTGGATTCGAATCTCTTTATTGTGGAGGTAATCATAACTTACAGAAACCAAATTAATTATGATGCACGAGCTAAAAAGTAAGATGCAGGAATAACAATTACCGAAACCAAATTAATTATGATGGCATGGATGAAATGAATGATGATCACAATACTTAAATTAATATTCCACTACTTTAATTCTCAACAGCAACCAAATTGATTTTTGTCAATTGTATGCATTTTTTGTTTTGTTTCCCCATTGTTCGTTCTTTGAAGGGTTTTGCTTCTTATCACCCTGTTATTTTAATTTTAATTTTTCGTTTCTTAATGTTATGCGAAGTTTAGATTTTTTCTACTTAAGAGTCTAGGTTTTTTCTCTCTCTCTCTAGTTTTATGTTTGCTGTAAAGGAAATCCAACTTCCCTCATGGTTTTGTTTCTGGGAGCTCATGAGCAACTTCCCAGTGGGTCACCCATCCTGGGATTGCTCTAGCCCTAACTCGCTTAACTTCGGAGTTCTCATGAATCCGAAGCCAATGAGCTCCCAAAAGACATCGTGGTAGATGGAGGTGGGCATGTACTTATAAGGCATATCACCCCCTCTCCTTTAGTCGATGTGGGATGTTACAAGCCACATGTTAAAATTAAAGAAATCACATATTCTTAGTCAAGCCCTGGGTTCAAGTCTCCAAGGTACCCGTGTGTGTGAGTTTCCCTCTCCCCCTGCCTAACTTTCTCAAAAAAAAGAAAAAAAGAAGAAGAAGAGCATGTTTTAATTTTGGCACATCCATTCAATTTGAGAAGGGCCAACTTTCCTATCATTGATGCTAATTTCCACGATGCAAGTGGCCAGGTATTGACTTGACTTAAGTAATTGAATCAATTTTGTTATTCTGATCACACTATGTATTCATTACTTGAAAATTACTTTTTTTTCTTCTCTTTTTTCCGTTGGGTCTGAACAGGAAGTTCAATGAGTTGGGGATTCTTGAAGAATTTGGAGGAACAATTTTGTATTGTTTGTGCTATTGGAGTTCGTGGGCATCATGCTATTGTTAAGGTGCTCTGGCATCCTCAAATGGTTTATTCGGATTCATGCGAACATAGATGCTGCTGCTCGCAGTTATCCACGGTATTTTCTGAGATTGCATAGGAGATAATGATTACAAAGAAATTATTTTTGAAAACGTTGCTAGACAAGCCCTCATATTTCGATCATTTCTATTGTTATTATATTCGAGAAAAGTCTTGAGAGTGTGCAAATTTGAACCCGACGTTTTTGTGTTTTGGATGCATTGGAGTAAATTCTTGACAAATAAGTTTCAATTTATTAGATAGGT